CACCACCACCATCATCATCAATAGTCAAGAACAGTGGTACCTTCCTCATGCTGCGACCCTTTCATACAGTTCCTCATGGGGTGGGGATCCCCAAATCATAAAATTAGTTTCATTGCTACTTCATCACTGTAATTTTACTACTGTTAGGAACCGGGCAACCTCTGTGAAAGGGTTGTTCAACCCCCAAAGGGGTTGAGACCCACAGGTTAAGAACCGCTGGTCAAGAACCATTGATTATATTAACGACGAAATTCCCATGTCGCGTTTTTGACATGCTGTAATCATGCAGAAATGCATCATTAGTAAGGTGGTAAAACTTTACTCTGGTTTTGCCTGCATTTTTAAAAATCTACTGTGGGGTAGAGAGGGCATGTGAGGGGGCCCAGCCGGTGAGGGCTGGCCGGATTGGCTGGGGGCACGGAAGCTGGGTGGGACAAAGGGACAGGGGCCACTGGGGTAAAGGGAAAGCTGAGACTTGCACCTCGGGCCCCACCTGCCCAGGTGGGCACCACACTCACCTGCAGCTTGCTCTTCCTCTGCAGGAGGCTGTTGTGCAGCAGGTCCCGGGCCCTCAAGGCACTGGCCACCTGCTCTAGGAGGCCCGGGGCTTGCTCCTGGCCCAGGACACTGTGCAGCAGGCCTGCCTTCAGCTGCAGCATGGTCAGCTGCTCCTTCAGGCGGGAGCTCTCAGCCAGGGCTGCCTGTGGAAGACAGATGGGTCAGCCCCAGGCCCAGGGTAGGGTGGCCAAGAAGAGGCCATCCCTGTGCCTCAGTCTCTGGCTGGGGCCTCAAAGAGCCGGGCCACAGGTCTTCACGCCCAGACTCCTTCCACAACCCTGGCTGGCAGGGGCCTTGGGAGAGGCCTGAACTTGAGGGCCCACTGGGAGTCCTCATATCCTCCCCTCAAACCCAGCTCAGAACACTGAGCGTAGAGGCTGAAGGCTCTTTGTTTATTTATTCCATGTCTTGAATAAATGGCAGTGGACTGGGTACTTTTTAATGCATTTCTGGGAGCCCTGGTGGCATAGTGGTTATGCTTTGTTTGGGCTGCTACGCTCAAGGTCAGCAGTCTGAAACCGCCAGCCTCTGCTTGGGAGGAAGACGAGGCTTTCTACTCCCGTGTGGAGCACTAAGTCACAGGGCCAGTTCTACCCTGTCCAGTAGGGTCGCTCTGAGTCAGCATGGACCGGATGGCATGAGTGTTAAACACGTCTCCATTGCTAACTGTTTACTAGGGGATGGAAGGCGATGAGCCCACTGTCACTGGGTCTATCTGGCTCATACATGCAGTACGTGCAGCTGAAGGAGAGCCTTTGTGCGCTTTCCAACGGGGCTGAGCAAAACCTCGGATGTCTGGACACACTGCTGGATACCAGGGCCCCCAAGACACCACACCTGGAGCGCATTCACGGCACACCTGCCTAGTGGTGACCTAGCTCAGGACAACAGCCACGGGCGTCCTCCTGACAGAGAGGGTGGGGTGGGATGGTCTGGCCCAAAAGTGAGGTTGCAGCACGTGTGAAATTCACTCTGGGGAGTCTGAGGGCGCACCCGGAAAGATGGGGCCCTAAGTCTTCAAACGAAGTGGAGCCCCCAGGGCTCACAGGTCCCTGGAGAGGGAGACAACCGCGGGGTCCAATGGGCTCCAGCCGGAACTTCCCAAGGTTCTACCTTCTGACCGTGGGTTAGGGGGGCGCTCAGCGAGCAGTGACCCTGTCAATGCTTCTGCCAGGAGCAGCAGGCGGGCCAGAAACGCCGAGGGAAAGGGAATCAGCATGCTCCGCATGGCACCACGGACTGCAGGGACCTGAGATTCCTTATGAGGAACATCCACGGCCCTGGGCATCCAAGCTGATGCCCCACAAAAGCAGTGTTCAGTCTCCTGCCCTCGGGACACAGCGTTCATGCCTCTGGCCAGGGCGGCTCTGAGGTGGCCCAGAAGGGCAGGGCGAGAGTCCAGGGTGGGTGAGGGGGTGGTGCAGGGCCCTGGGCCAGTTCAGCTCCCAGACAACTCCTTCAAGAACTGCGGCCTTCTGTGGCTGGTATCATTTACTGTAAGTTCAGCACTGGACAGATATGTGCAAGGCTGGGGACAGGCTTTTCCCAGTGAGGGAAGGCCACAGGGGGCCGGCAGCCCACCCCAGCTGCCCCTAGCTAGCCCCACTGGCCCCCGGGGATACCTCGATCTGAGGCAGGAAGGTGTGGATGGAGGGCAGGTCTGGCAGGCTGGTGGTGATGTCCAGGAGTTTCAGGGCCAGTGCCCTCCACAGCTGCAGGTCCTGCAGGGGTCGTTGGAAGCGCTGCAGCAGCTCCGCAGAGGTGGCATTGCAGAGCCTGGCACTCTGCCCCTTCAGGCTGCGGGGACGGGAGGCAGCGGGCACTGTGAGTGGGGATCAGTGCAGAAGAGAGTCCATCCACCCAGAATCCCAGGGCCCGCAGGAGAACTCTCTCCTATTCCACCGGCTGAAGCGACTGTCTATGGGGCCATGGATGTACTGGGAAGGTGGAAAAGGTATCAGGCTTGTGGAAAAGCACAGGGTATGTGAGTATCCTGGGGTTCTTAAGTAGCTGGCAACAGTGGGGAAGGCCACCTGAGACCAAGTGTGTGGCCTTAATTACAGCCTTCCGCCTCGCTCACGTTTGAGCCTCAACTTCTTGGAGCCTCAGTTTCCACACAGGGACAGAGCACCCCGCCCGTGAGAATGGCATGAGGTGGCACGTGGAGTCGTCCTCCAGGGACAGAAGACTAACTAGGTCCATTCCGACTGGGCGTCCCAGTGAGGGCCACTGAAAACACGATCCGTGGAAAAGGTCAAATAAAACCCAGCCATGGGCATCGGCTACTTATCCCGTTAGGGCATTTGACAACCTGGGAAAAACAAGCACAAAACTAAACAATACTTCTGGCAGAGCTAGGGGGCAAGGGTCACAGGTCAGGGTCCTGCTAGCTGTGCCCCAGTTTCAGCCAGGACCCGGGAGGTCTGGGACCTCATACCAGAAGTACGCTAACCTTTAGACAGACTTATAACCCAGCTTCAAACCAGGGACCCTCAGAGCCCAGAGGCCTCGGACTGGGACGGCCCAGCCCCTTAGCAGCAGCAAGCAAAGCCTTTCCTGGTGTGCAATGCCACCATGCCAGGCCCAAATAGTAACTTCCCCCAGTCCTTTTCCACACACGATGCCTGGCCCAGAGTCACAAAGCACAGGACGCACGAGCAGACAAGTCGCCACCGAGGCGAACCCGGACGAGAAACAAGAGCCCGCAGAGGCAACTCACAAAGACCCTGAGACACTGACCGACCAGAGACCATCCATCAACAGCCATGTCCAGAGATGGAAAAGCCAAGTGTGAACAGTTCTGCAGAAAAGAGGGCATGACGGAATGTAGCCATGTCGATTGATGAAAAAATATGATGATGCCTGCTAAGCATTCCATGCTGGCAGTGAGTCCCTAGCTCAGCTGGGGCTGGCATTTGAACTTGCGACTCACATAGCCCCCAGGTGCCCAAGGGAGGCTCTGCAGGGAATCAGAACAAACACCAGCCCTGCTACAGTGTCAGGGGCAGGGAGAGGCTAGACCTGCTACCGGGTCCTGCTAACCAGCCGCCCCGCTGGTCACTACCAAATGGACCTGCTCCTTGCTGACTCTGGGGGAAAACACACACACACACACAAACCACGTCCACCACTGTGGAGTCCATTCTGACTCACAGTGACCCGACAGGACAGGGCAGAACTGACCCTGTCATCCTGGGTCAAAAATCACTTTATTGGGGGCTCTTACAGCTCTTATCACAATCCATCCATCCATCATCCACTGTGTCAAGCACATTTGTACATATGTTACCATCATCCTTTTCAAAGCACTTTCTTTCTATTGAGCCCTTAGTGTCAGCTCCTTCCCTCCTCTTCCCCCCTCATTGACCCTGGTCAATTGATAAATCATTATTTTTTTCATGTCTCCTTTCACCCACTTTTCTGTTGTCCATCCCCCCTGGGCGGCGGTTATATGTGGATCATGTGATCGATTCCCCCTTCCCTCCAACCAGGCTGTCACCCTTATAGACACAACTGCCGCACCTTTTTGCTGCTGCTCGGTGGCTGGGTTGGAACTGCCAAGTCCTCCTCCCCCTACCCCCAGCACCCTCAGGGCCCCTGACCAAGATAATGCCCAACCACAATTCCACTAGTCTCGAGGGCTCAGTAGTCCCTGCCCCAGCCACAAAAGCCTCCCCAACACCCCCTCTACGCCCAGTAGAGACCAGCAGGGACCCAAGGTTGCTCTGAGCACAAGAAACCCGGCCCACCCCCGGAGATCCAAGCTCTGCTGGATTCACTGCACAGAAAGATGGAGAGATGCCCGGCGGGGTCCTAGGCTTGGTGCCTAGAACTATGCCCGAGTCAGCCAAGGACGAAGATCAGTCTAGTTCTGGGGACAGTGCTGAGTATGTAAAACACCTGGGGCTCCGCACCCCAAATCTGGACACATTCCAAACGTGCCTTTCACTCAGTCCAGCCACATAGCCTCAGCTGGGAACACGGAGGCCCTGCCAAGGGGGGTGGGGTCGAGGAAGGCGGCCGGCTGAGGTCTTGGAGTCTCAGTGGCTTCAGAAGGCAGGGCAACGCTGTGTGTCCACTAAGATGCCCTCCCTTTGCATGCTGTGTCCAGCTGCTGACCATAGGGCTGGAGGTGCCAGTCTCCCCAGATATGCTAAGAAGAAAGATCTATATCTGAAGACCAGCCACTGAAAACCCTGCAGGGTATGTATCTACCCAGACACGCAAGAGGCCTGTACAAGTCAGTGTCCACTCAATGGACTGTCAAAGGGGGACCCCCCACCCCAGTGCGAAGGAGATCTGGTGACATAGTGGTTACATATTGGGCTGCTAACCACAAGGTCAGCAGTTCAAAACCACCAGGTGCTCCCCAGGAGAAAGACCAGGAGGTTTTCTACCCCTGGAAAGAGTCTCAGAAACCCACAGAGGCAGTTCTACCCGGTCCTATACAGTCAGCCTGAGTCAGAACCAACTCGATGGCAGAGAGTTTGCGTTATACATTGGGCTGCTAATCACAGGTCGGCAGTTCAAACCCACCAGCCACTCCTTGGGAGAAAGATGAGGCTTTCTATTCCCATAGAGACTTACAGGCTTGGAAACCCACAGGGGCGGTTCGACCCGGTCCCAGAGGGTGAGGAGCATGAATGAACTCGATGGCAGTGAGTTTGGTTTGGCTTGGTGCCCCTGTGCCACCCTCTACCCCATCCTCCCACCAAGTGCTCAGCTGCAGAAAAGAGGCCAAGGCCAGGCTTCTTTCTGGGAGCAAATGCTCAGCCAATCAAGAGAGGCCCAGGGATGACTATCAGGTTGCTGGGCTGCGGGAAGAAGCAGGCCCACCTTCCGGGAGAGGACAGGTGGGTGGGAAGGCCCTGTAGTCAGGCCACAGTCTCCCCCACCCGGTACCTCTGGTACTCCTGCAGGGCGGCCACCACGCTGTCCAAGAGGGGCTGCAGGTCCTGGGAGAAGACGAGGAGCTTCTTCATGTGGGCCTGCAGCCGGGACACCCGGGGCTCCTCGGCGGCCAGGGCCGCCCGGGTCGCCTGCGGACAGGACGCACCAGAGTTAGGGTGGCCACAGCTCACAGCCTGGGCGAAACTAAGACCCCATGCAGGGACTGAAAGCCCCACCGTGGATTGGGCCCCTGTTCTCCCTGCCCCTCCAGCCCCCACACCGGGTGGGCGACGCAGAACAGGGCATGGCTTCTCTTTGTTTTCAGTGGTGGTCAGGAGACGCTTCATCTCGCTTCCTACGCATGGTCTCAGGAGGGACCAGGCCCTGGAGAAGGACGTGCTCGGTGCAGCAGAGGGTCGGCGAGCGGCTGACACAACGCCACCCCTGGCCTCAACCCTCGCACTGACGGCGAGGATGGTGCGGGGCCAGGCTATTCTAGGTAGGCTTGCTGGACTTTGGCCTTGCTGGAAAGGCTCAGGCTTCTACATAAAACAGGTGGAGGTGGGGACCCGCCTGTACCCCTGCCTGACAGTGCCCCACTCAGCCATGGCCAGGTCCTCACAGGGGGGAACTCCTCGCAGCCTCAGGGGGAGCTTGGTATGGAGGATACACCTGGTGCACTCTGTCCCCAGCACAGCCCAGGTCAAGGGGCAGCAGAACGTGGGCTGCCTCTGGACGGAGACCTGTCCACCGAGCCAGGCCGAGTCAGCACGGGCTATGCCACAGCCGAGGAGCCGGGGGTGGCTAGATCACTCAGGGGAAGCCGAGGCCCCGCCTCTGGGCAGCCTGGGGAAGCACTGCCCTTACCCTCAGTTTCCCTGCTTGTGCGGGCCCTCTGAGCCCTGTGGTGCCAGTGACGTCATCACTGGTTAGCCGGTAGCCTGGGATGCCCGGGAGGATGGGCCCGCATTTCTGGATTGACCAGTTTGGCCAGAACTCCAGCCTGAGGTCTATGGTAGGTGCCAGGAGTCTCCTGGGCCAGTGACTCATCCAGCAAGGGCCCGGGATGGCTTCAGGGACAGATCGGCCTGTGGCCACAGCCTGGACAAGTGTCTGGTGACCCAGTGGTCATTCCTCCCACGACGCCATTATCTTAGACTGAGAGGGCACGGTGGCTGAACTTGACCCTTTCGGTGTTCAAGTTCACGCCCACGCCTCTGCTGGTACTGGGCATGCATCACCTGAGCTGCCGGCCCCTGTCTTCTCATCCGTGCACAGGGGTGATGGCGCTCAGACCACCCCCATGACGGAGACTCCGGGGCTGAGCCTGAGCCACCCGCTTCCTTCCGTCCACCCATCTCTCAAAGCAGGGCTGCCCGATCTTGGCCGCAGGGACCTGGGACAGGTGAGCCACGTGGAGGGAGCCTGCAGGGAGGCCTGAGACACGGCACAGACCGGCCGGCCGGCACACAGCCTCGCTCACCGAGTAGCGTCTCCAGCGGGCCACCAGCTCGTCCTCCGTGCCGGCCTCCGTCGCAGGGGACAGGACCTCCTCGGCCAGCAGCCCGAGCCCCTTCTGGAACTCTGCTAGCTCTGCCTCCAGCTGCCCGATCTGCTGCCTGCTGGCACCCTGGGCGGCCAGGACCTGCCGCAGCCTCTCCTCCTCCTTCCCACAGAGGCCGCGAAGCTTCTCCAGGACTCTGCGCAGCTCGCTCAGTTCCTGGGCTATCTTCTCGGCCCCCAAGGGAGAAGTGTTCTGGATGACGCCCCTGGACTGCTCCTCCAGCCTCGTCAAGGACCCCTCGCCCCTCGGGAGCACGTTGGCGATGTCCTAAAGGAGGCAGAGGGGGCAGGAAAGACATGGGGGGGTGGGGGCAGTGGGGGACTTTGAAAACATTGGCTCTACTGCCCAGAGCGACCTCCCCCACCTACCCCAGAGGTCAGGCTGTCTGCTAACACCTGGAGTCCTGAGTGACCCTATGGGGCACCTTCCCCAGGGGTGGACCCTCCATGATAAACAGCACTGACTCAGAACTTGGGAACCAGCCCTCCCCAAGTTGTTTTCTAGGAGAAAGCCTTTGCTGGGTGCCTCCGTCTTTAATGCCTGACACGTGTCTGTTTGTCCTTATTAACAAGGACACAAGAGGCCTCAGACTCCCACCCTCTGCTAAGGGTCTAAACTCTAAATGAAACTGCCCTCCGGTCCCACCCAACTCACAGCGACCCTCCAGGACAGGGCAGAGCTGCCCCTGTCGGTTTCTGAGCCTCTCACTCTCTACAGGAGTAGAAAGCCTCATCTGTCTCGGGAGGAGAGTGCTGGTGGTTTCAAACTGCTGACTTTGCGGTTTGCAGCCCAACTCGTAACTGCTATGCCACCGGGCCAACAGCCTGGAGCTAAATGACACCTGGAGTCCAGTGTCATGGTCAGTGAGCTTCTTAGGAGAGACCAGCTCCAGAAGGACGTCATGCTTGGGAAAGTAGAGGCAGTGAGAGAGGAGGGCCCTGGACACGAGGCACTGGCACAGTGGCTGCCACGGTGGGCTCGGGCATGAGGACAGTGGTGAGGTGGCACAGGACCGGGCAGTGTTTCCTTCTGCCGTACACAGGGTCGCTGTGACTCAGAACCAACGGTTCCGCACCTACCAACAGCCACAACATCTGCGTGGCTCTCTGCTGCTTTTAAGTAGCCCTGCTGGCATGGTGGGTTAGGATGATAACCTAAAGTTCAGCAGTTTGAACCCACTAGCTGCTCCAGGGGGAAAAGATGAGGCTGTCTGGTCCCATAAAGATTTACAGTCTCAAAACCCCACAGGGGCTATTCTGTTCCCTCCTACGGGGTTGCTGTGAGTCAGTTTGGTTGGTGCTTGGTTCTGGTGGTAGTTATATAACCTGTTGTCAATTTGAGACTAAAGAGTGAAGGGGTGGAGGTTAGGGTTCCAACAAGCTTTCGGGTCGCATGCAGTTTAATGACCTCATTTGGAGCTGCTAAGGAGAGAAATAGCTCGCTGGAGGTGGGGCACACGAACATTCCTTGCAAGACATCCCTGCTGAGAAGACTCGGAGCTACGCTAGAGCCCTGGAGCTGAAGGAGCCATGTGGAGACACCTGCCAGCGCTGAGATGCTTCCACTGCCACTGGATCCACAAGACTTCCCACCCACTGGCCTGTGATCTTCCTACATTTGGCGTCATTGCATGTGTTGTGTGAGTCTGAAGAGAACTTTAGATTGGTATCAGACATATGGGCTAATATTAGACTTATGGACTGATCTGGACTAGGCTGGGATGTTTTCTCAATACATAACTGCTCTTGTATATAAAGCTCTTTCTTATACACATATGAGTGGCTATGAATTTGTTTCTCCAGTCTCTCCAGACTAATACACTGATATCCCACTCCGGGCCTTGGGGTCAGCTACTTTCTAAGTAAGCAGTGGTCCTTTTTCAAACAAATGAGTTTGTTTAACTATGAACCTTACTGTAGTCCAGGCACTACACAGCGCAGCCAGCATTGTCAAGCGGGTCCTGTGTCATTGGAGGCCAGCTGCCCACTTGTTCTTCAGGGGGGGCAGCGGCTTCCTCAGGCCACAGGACCGGCCAGAGAAGCTGGGAGACCCCAACGCCTGCTGCCTGAGGACCGAGGCCTCTGTCTAGACCAATCATGGGACTGCTGACCGCAGGGGCTGGACAATTCTCTGTAGCGGAGGCGGGGGTGGCATCCTGGGCATGTTGGGCAACCTACCTGGCCCCCACCTGCTAGATGCCAGCTGTACCCCTTCTCCAGTTGTAAGCACCAAGGGTGCCACCAGACTTTGTCTTCCTGGATGTGTGTGTGTGTGTGTGTGTGTGTGTTGAGAAGGGAGGGAGGGAGTGGAGGGAGGGTAATTGCCCTGTTGTGTGAGACCCACTGGTCTAGACAGCTGGGCAGTGGCCCTGAGTTTGCCAATGCCCTGCTGGGGCAGAAAACCCAAACCAAATCCACTGCCATGGAGTTGATGGCAGCTCATAGTGACCCTAAAGGAGGGGGGAGGGGGGTGACCCCAAGGCTGTCATCTTTATGGAAGCGGAGAGCCACATCATCTCCCGTGGGGCAGGCAATGGGCTTGAACTGCTGACCTTACAGTCAGCAGCCGAGCTCCTCACAGCTGCACCACCAGGAAGAGACGTCCACACAGCAGCTGTGGCTGACCACTGCTCACTAAGCCCTGGCTTCTCCTGCCATGGTGGCTCCCAGGGCACTCAGCATGGCCTCACTAAATAGACTCGATGCCCCCGTCCGCCACCCGGGACCTCCCAGAGCAGACTTTGGGAGGCAGAGGCGCAGTCTGACTTACCTGCAGGGCGGCGAGGCACTGCGGGCTGGTCATCTTGCAGTGCCGCCCCATGCAGCTGTCCACCCTCTCCACCACTGCCCGCAGCCACTGCTGGAACTCGTCCACGCCCGCCTGGTACTGCTCGTGCTCCTGGGTCATCTCCTGCAGCAGGGCCACCCGAGCCTGTAAGAGCGGGGAGCATCATGGCCATCCATGAAGGAGTCAAGCCTGATAACCTTCCAGACTAAGAAATCTGCAGACCACATGTGCACGAGTGCGTGTGTGCATGCGCGTGCCCGCCCCCATAGGTGTGCGTGTCAGTACTTGTATCTGCGTGTGGTGAAGGGATGGTGCTTACGTATGGCTCCTGAGTTAGTTAATTGTGCCAGCCTGGCTGATAATCACATGTGGTGCTGGTTGAAAGGCGGAGGGATAAATGGGTGGTGAAGCCTCGCCTTTCTAGTTCTCCGGTCTCTTGTT